AAACACTTTATGCATTTTACTTGGCACAGAATTAAAACCAAAGCTTTGGAGAGGGCGCGAGACGGCGAGGTAGAAAGGGAGGATGGAGGAGGGAGGGTCAATGAGAGTGGGAAGCCCGGCTAATGAGAGATCCAGGAAGGGCAAGCGAGCAAGAGAAAGTGAGAGAGGGAAAGAGAGAGAGAGTGAGAGAGAAAGAGTAAAGGCATGGAGCTCATAAAGGATTGTTAATGGAGCAGAATTTACACCGGCCGCTGACATACAACATACACATACAATTAAAATATGCCCAGTTTAAAAAACACAAATCCACAAAAGAAAAATAAATACCCCCCCCGCCCCCCCACCACACACACGAAAACGTCAATTTGTGACATCATCATTCAGCCTGTGAAGTTGAGCGCATTTTGCTGACTTGGCCAGAAGCAAAAATAGAAGACACACTGACGTCAAGCAGAACGCTTGAAATGGAGGCAACAACGTTAGGGACATTTTTTTTGTCAGCTTTTGGCATATTTTGATATATTGGGAATTAGAAAATGCACCTTTTTTTTGTTTGTAATTTTTGGGATATTAATTCCTTTTATTATTCATTTTATCTTTTTTCTCAGTTTTTAAATGACTTTTTTATGTACATCTTGATTTGTTGATTCATTTAAACATTTTCATTATTCAATCATTTTCAGCATTTTGTAGGTATTTTTCCCCTTTGTGTTTGTGTTAAATTATGTATTTAATTGTTTTTCATATTATAAAATTCACTTTTATGAATAATCAATTTAATGTTTTACTTGCTTTGAGTTTTATTTATATTTATTTTTTTATCATTTTTAAAAAATATTATTATTTTTTTTGCTATTTTATTTAATACTAAAATTCCATTTTTACTGTTTGTGTTGGTTTATGTTTATTCATTAATTTATTTCTATTATTTTATTAGGTTTGTATTATTTATATTTTTCCAGCATTATGTTTAAATTTTTATTATTACTTTTTTCCCATTTAAACTGTTGAATTTATTTTTTCATCTTTTTGCTACCGATTTTTTTTCTTACTCTAAAACTAGCCCGCAACAATTAAATTCAGCCTGTTGTATTTGAAGAGCTTGGTGATTGTTCCTCTCCAAAAAGTGAAGAGCATGAAAGCATTTGTATGCGCACGCCAGCATTAGAAATGTTAACTCGAAACCCCTTTCACACGAGCAACGGTCCCGCGGAGGGGCCACGGCGCTCTGTTGACACTTTCTCCCAGCTCATCTATAAATACGACGACTTTCGGCTCAAGCTTTCCTAAGCACACACACACACACACACACACACACACACACGCACGCACACACGCACACACACACAGTAGCTCGAGGGAGTCTGGGCCATAAAAGGTGACGGGATGTTTTCCTGCATGGAGCCAAAGACTGAAGCTGACTTACAGCCCACAAAATAATTTTGTGGTCTTCCAAAGACGTCAAATTTTGTGCAGTCGTTCTTCAACGACTACACAGCCTCGTAATGCTGAGAACCAGAAGCAAACCTTGCTCCATATTAACACGGCAGCAAGGTTAAAAGTCGCCATTAATAATAATACTTGGACTGCACATCTTGCCTCAATCAATAATTCATAGCTCGCTCTATTTCCACCCATCAATCAATCACAAGACGACGACTCGCTTCTCATCCACGGCGGCGCTTTTACGAGTATGACTGGATTTCCAAAGACGTGATGTCGCTTTTTGGAGGGGGATAGTCGGGACGGATTTAGCCTGGCGTCTCGCGGTCAGTGAAGGCCCAAAGGGGGTGGGGGGGGGGGCATGTGACACGCTATATACAGCCCTGGGTGAGGGGTCAAAGGTGAAGACAAACAATCCCTCAAGAGTATTTTATTTTTGATATTCGGGGGATTTAAACTTGATACGGTGGATATAAAAAGTCAACACACCCCTGCTCAAATGCCAGGTTTTTATGACATTCAAAATAATCATAAATAAATCATGTCACGACTGATAAAGACAAAGTCAACTGAAATGCTTACAAGAACAGCTGCAGTTGATTTGCTGGCAGGTGTTTGCCGAGTCCCTTTTACCTTTAGCTTGAATGTGATTGGTTCAGTCTGAATGAACACAGCCAAATCTCCAGCTACAAGAGGGTGTGCACACTTACGCAAACACACTCTTAATTTTTACTCCTGCAACTTGAGAGGTTTTTTTCTGTTGAGTTATATTGGTGATCCTAATGATTTGAAATGATTTGTCTTGGTTTTATTTTCTTGGTTGGACTTTAAGAAACTTTTACAAGATGCTCCAGGATTAATAGGTGAATAAAAAACGTTGCTGTTTTTCAGAATTTAAAAAAAAAAAAAAAAAATCATAGCTCAACCAAAATACAAATGATAATCCTGCAACGCCATGACATTTTTTATTTTATTGCGCCTTTAAAATTTTTCAGAAGTAAAAACTTTTAGTCACGACAAAGGATGTTTTTGTTTGTTTTACTTTTTTATTACAACTTCATACGTATGAATGATGTTCTGGCAATGCCATGACATCCTAGCTTTTTTGTTTTACAATATCGCCTTTGAAATTTTTTTTTTTAATTAAAAAAAAAATAATAATAATAATCGGGTTATGACAAAAAGCAGCTCACCCTGTTTTGAATTTGAAAATGTTGACCTCTAATTGGATGCTTACTCCAGTAAATGCCATGACATCACTGCTTCTCATTTCACATTTTCGCCTTTCCCAAGTCAAAAGTTCAGATCTAAATGTTCCGAGACGCCTCGCTGCAAACTGAAGACAGATTAAAGGACCACGGGACGTTAGCGCTACGCGCCTCCACAGTAGCATGCGGTTCAATTCAATTAGCAAAGATCAAAGCCGCCTTAAAGGGGGGGTGGGGGGCTTTGTTATGAAGAGCACCCCCCAAGCACCACGTGGTTCCGACACGACTTGACAGAAATCTCAAAACACACTTCCCTGGCATGTGAAACCGGATCGGGACGGGCGAGTACATGCCGCGTCGTCGGGCTCGCAAAAGCAAGTCTGGGATTTCCCTGCGAAATAAAAGCACCGTGGCATCAGCGAAGGCGGCAGCTGCGCGCGGAAAATGCACGGCACGGTCCAGGGAGTGTCCGCATATGAACGGCGGGTCCGCGTCATGTGCCGAGCGAGCAGCCGGACCGAGGACAACTGTTGCCCTGCCCTGGCAAAGACAAACCAACGCTGACACACTTTATAAATAAGCGGCGAGTGACCTTTGACTTTAGCCGGCGCTCCGCGGCCGCGCTGATGCGGCATTCTTCATTTGACAAGGACAATAAAAAGACGACTCGCAAACAACTTTATCGTCCGCATACTGACTCAGGTCCTGACTTTGTCACTGTTGACATACAGTACGCAACATTCGCACTGCAGGGTATGACATCTAATTCGGATTTTTTTGTTAAATGCAAGATTTTTATGTACAGTAGTCATTCACAGTACAAATGCAACTTAGAATGTATCGTGTATTAATGTAACTGCATATAATGTTGAGTTTTGATGATGTATAGCGTATTTGTCAGACTTAGTCATACTTTTTTTTTTTGTCATAATTTGGCTGGCCTCGTTGAGAACTGTACATATGAAAATTGAAGGTCGGAGTCGAACCCGAAATCCATGTTCCCGGTTGGATTCAAAACTGCCACTTCTTTTTCTTTTGTGTTTAAAATAGCTTACATGAAGGTGTTGCGAATGCACCCAAAGTATTTGCCACTCGCTAATAGAAAGTAGTAGAAGAAAGGGAAGATGAAGAAATGGAAGAGGAAGAAAAAGTCATGGCAACTGTGTGAGATGTACAGCCAGCACGCTAGTTTAGCATGCGGCATCCACCGCAACAAGGATTTATTGATTACAGCACTTAAAGGCAAAATAAACCAAACAAGATTCTACCTTTGGCCACAATGTCACGCGGGATTCTAGTTCGGGTAAGTCATTTTAAACTTAAAAAACTTTTGCCTAGTAGGAAGTTTAAGTTTCAAATCCAAACTGGAACTCGTTTGCTCTGTCGACACGATAAAGAAACGGGAATTTTGGGTGCGAGTCCGAGGTCTATTGTTCTTGGTCTTTCTTTTTATAAAATCAGTTTCTCGAAAAAACATGACTTATGGTCGAATGAGAATTATATATATATATATATTTTCTTCTTCATGATACATTTTTTGAGTGGTGCGTCTTATACTTCGGAGCAATTTATAGTTCAGAAAATCCGGGAAGCATCAGCCACAAATCCGATTCATATCCACATACCAAATTGGAAAATTTGAATTGTGCTTTTTACACTGATGTGTAAAAGTCAGATATATGTCACATACTCTCACGAAAAAAAAAAAAAAGTCGGAATTGACCTGCAGTGCCGATTTAGCCATAGTGGAGCAGACATTGACCAAACGACTTTCACGCAAATGCTATCAAAGGAAAAAAAATCTCTGTTGCGTCAGAAATTTCACAAAAGACTTGAACTCGATCTGAAGCGGAATTAGCATTTTGTCATGATTTGATAATCCAATGTTATTGTAGTCGGTTATAATGTCAAAAAAAAAAAGCCTAGTCAAAATTGATTAATCTGTGCCAACAATGTTTTTGTTCAGCACAACGTGAACAAATTATTAAAAATATCGACCGGTTTCATTTTTGAGTGTCATAATATCGGGATATGTTGTATCGTACAACTTCTACGATGTTGAACATGTGGGCTGTTACTATTCCGAACCAAACCCTGTTTTTTATGGTAGGCTGTGAATCATGGCTGATGTCGAGATGAACTGATTTTAATCTTCAAAATTACCCCCCCCCCCCAAGTGATTTCATTAAGTGGAAATTGAACAGCGGAGCTCCTGCGGAGATGACGCATGGCTGACACGCCGCCTGCTTAATTGGAAGATACATCAAACAGCTGATCCGACCACACGTGACTTTTTTTGCTTTGTTTTGTACTTTTTTTTTTTTTTTAAAGTGAAAAAAGGAGACTCACATGAAGACGTGGTAGATAAAGGCCCATCCACGCGGGCGCTCTAGCACGTTGTACAAGTAGTTCTGGAGCTTGCGGAAGCGCTTGCTGGTCTGGGACGCACCGGCGCGGGGGCCAGGGGCCCCGGGTAGCGGCGTGCCCAGAAGCCCGGTGCGGTGCGACGGCAAGCCGCGCTCAGGGGTGGACGGCTCGCTGCGTTCCGTGTGCACGGCGGTGAGCGCCACGAACTCAACCCGCCGCTCGTCACCGGCGGGCGGCGGCGGCAGCGGCGGCGCCAGCATTCCGACGCCGCCGTTGTTGGACGGGCTCCCCAACATCAACCTCTCCGGGGCGCCAAGTTTGGATCCATCCCGAAACGCTCCGCACGCCAAAGCAAAACACACACAAAAAAAAAAAAAAAAACACGTGAAGGTTTGTTTGGATTTTCTTTCCAACTACTTTAAGTCAAGTTACGGTCGCAAAGGGAAGCGTCCGGACACGCGAAGCGTGACCTGCAAACTTCATGGTGGTGGCTGGTACGGAGCTGGTGGCGCTCGCTTTCGAGCCAGTGGGCGTCTAGGCCAGGTGGAGGAGGAGGTAGGAAGGAGGGTCGCGCGCACGCCGAAAAGCCGTTGCTCCGCCTGTGCCCTTGGAGCGCGCGCGCGTCGAGATGCGCACGTCTTCGTGCACGCACTCAAGTCATTCCACCGAATCACAGATGGGGCAATGAATTTGGGCATTAAAAAAAAAAAGTTTCAAGTTAAAACTACGGAAGCGTATTGCATTCACTAGAGGAAAAAAAATAGCCGTTTTTTCTGAGTAATTTTGAAGGAGGATCCAGAAGTGTTTTTGTTTTAAATATATATTTTTGTCAGTTTCTGTTTTTCAAAGTTTGTTTTGTGGATTTTTTTTACTATATATCGGATATTTTTTCTGTTTTTCGCAACAGTTTTTTCTGCTTTTGGGGAATAGTTATTTTTTTAGAAATATAGTTTATTTAAAATAATGTGCTGTGATTTTTTTTTTGGGCGGGGGGGGTGCTTGTTTAGTGGAATTTTTTTTTACTATATATAGGATATTTTTTCTGTTTTTCGCAACATTTTTTTCTGCTTTGGGGGAATAGTTATTTTTTTAGAAAAATAGTTTATTTAAAATAATGTCCTGTGATTTTTTTTGGGCGGGGGGGTTGGGGGTGGGGGGGTGCTTGGGGTTCACCAAAAGTAGATTTCAGTCGCTACTGTAACCATTGAAGTTCCTGCTGTGTCCATTTGGCCAGTAAATTACTTTCAACAACGACCTTTGCTACGCCAAATGTGATGATGTCGTGCCTGCCTTCTAAGTGTGTGCGTGTGTGTGTGTATGTGTGTGTAGGAGGCGGGGGTTGGGGGGGGTTGCATGTCAAATAACAGCATCAATGTCAAGGGGAACAGACCTTCACACCCCTGTGCTTGTTAGGGACACGTTTTGAAGTGCCCCTTTAAAATGGGGGTGAGGGGAATGCCCACTTCAAACCAAAATGTCAGACTTTCAGTGTCTTTTCAATCTTGCCTTCTTAAGACTTTTTTTGTGTGTCTACTCATGAGAGATGTTGCTAAGTGAAAGTGGAGTTGGGAGCAAACACTTTAAAACATTCTCAAGTGTGTTCGTGAGCCAAAATGGTTGCTCCAACCAAAATGTCCCGATGTCTCACGATCACAGTGAGTGTGAATGCTTGTTTATGTGTGCGATGCGATTGGCTGGGAACCAGTTCAGGTTGGACCCGGCTGGGATAGGCTGCTGGACGTCTGCGACCCTCGTGAGCTTAATGAATGGATGGATTTACATGATAGACATGCCTCCCAAATTTCAGGTTCTCGTGTGAAAGTGACTTTGGGGGCGGGACTCTCAAAAACGTCCTCGAGGGCTCACTATTGACTATTAATAGATGAGATCGTAATTTATTAGTGCAGCAAGTTATCTGATGCACGTTTATGATGTGTGAAATGTGCAAAGCGCCCACTTCTATTTTAATCAGAAAAACATTACCTTCACCTTTGCTTTGA